TTCAGTCGAGAAGCTGAAAGTTCAGGCTGTTTTTTTAGACATGTTCAGATCTCTAACAAGATCATTTAGCTCATCTTAAGTTAATAAATGAGGTTCACAAGTAGAGCTCTAGCTAAGGTTGCTAAGGGGTTAAGATGCTGCCCTGCAGTACTGTTAAGCACTATGAAAAAGTCTCAGTCTTGCTTCTGTGTTGTACTAAAGAGAAATGCAAGCAAACTTTATGTTGAAGATTTTCTGTAGTGCTGCAGAGCAGCATCTTAAGCAGTAGCTAGTTTAAACTTTAACAAGTCTTCAGCTTTTTAAATCCTCAAAGTTTTGAAAATTGTTTCAAAACTGAAGATTTAAAACCCTTTCGCTGTTGCTTGATATAGGATCGATGGTTTTGAGCATCAAGTAAAGTTTCTGTACATTTTTACTGCATTTACCTGTCGACATTGATATTTTAATTTCTTCTTTTAAAACAAAACAAAAACTGTCTTTTTCTGAAGGAGTTGTAACAAAGCAAATGGAAGACTTTAATTCTTGCATTAAAATTAGTCTCAGTGTTGCTGGTGTGCGCACCTTCGAGTCGATGTTACAATTGGTGTTGAATCAATTGATTCTTTAAGTTGAGTGCTTGAAGAAAGATCATTTAATGAGGATTCAATATCAGAAGAAAACATATGAGCATAAAGCTGATCCAAAAAACAAATAACTACTTCTTCTGTTGAATATTGCAACAGATAATGTATTTGTGTTGGTAATTTAAAGTGTTCCAAATAGTACAGTGATGAAACAAGCAACATATTATGATGTTTTGAAATGTTCTTGGAAAGACTATCAATGAATTTGTGATTTAGATGTGAGTCAATCTAATCTGCTTGAACTTAGTGCCTTGTTGTCGATCTCAATTGGTTTGAACAAAGAAGTCAACTCCCTAATACATGCAAAATTTTGGTTGATGAATTGCTCCAGCTTTTCCAGCTCAAGTAAAGCAAATTTGTTTGGCTTTTCCAATAAAAGAATCCACTCAAACAACAGCACCAACGAGTTTCAATGCATATTGCAATCAAGAAAAAGTTTCAGATTTTTTTCAACGATTTCAAGCGAAATCTTTTTTAGAATTTGCTTTAGTTTCTTTATTCAAAAATTTTGATCAATTTGTGACATTGTTCAATAACCTTGAAGAGGTCATCATGGAATGAATACAGATCTTTGATAAACACAGTTTATACTATCCATCCATCTTCAAACTCTGACATGACATCTGTTTGTTTATCAGCAGATCGTTCTTGTCTGTCTTGGTCATCTTTGTCTTCATTGTCCAAGTTCTCATTGAGAAAAGTCAAATGTGAACAGCTTGATGGTTCGACATTGGAATCAATCATATCAGATGGTAGCATAATTTTATGAGAAAAGACATTTTGTTGCCAAGTGAATCCAATGATTGTAGCAAAGCTGTTCCTTCCGATTGGAATAATTGCTTATGATGGAAGAAAAAATTGCATGTTTGAACCAGCATTATGTGTGACTCCAAATATTTTTATTGAGTCAATTCTGAAATCATGAAGTTTGAGTTGATGGCTTCAACAATGAGCTGACCAGTAGCATCTTTGAGAGATGCACAATGTCTCACAACTGCAGTTGAAGAGGTTATCTCTTCGAAACACATTCCAAAATTCTGTTTGGTGAACAGCTTGGCAAGGACCAAAGGAAATGAAGTGCCCAAAAGTCCAGTTACTGTACTTAATGGCTTATTATGATGTAAAAAGAAAAGAAAATGTGTCTTTGTTTAAAGATGAATTGGCCTTTAGTATGAACGTCGACAAATGGAGTGGTATCAACAGTGAACAGTATCTGAAAATATCAGTTTGAATCCCAACTTGCACCGCTTTACACGAGTATTTCAGATAATGTCTCCTTTTGAAGAAATCCAACAATGCTTTGTTGTTTTTGGTTGAGAATTTTTACATTTGATAACTTCCTATTTTGAAATTCTGTGTTTATCAGATGCCAAATGGTCAAACAAAGTAGTAGTGCTGCCATATGTTTGCAAGATTGCCTGACAAAGACTGCATTGTGCAGAACTTGAACTGAGATGAGTGAAAAATGACCACATTGGACTGTGCAAGTTGGCCACAATCTACAAGTTTTGAAATTGATTAAACAAGAAATAAAATAACCAAAACAAACCTTTTGCCAAGTGGTGACACAAGAAATAATTTAAAAAAAAAAAAAAAGGAATCCGAATCTGGCTTTTTAAATAAACACATTCAAAATTAGACCAGGCAAAACACATGCTACTTGTAGACAAAATATTAAAAAAGTGAAAAGATTTCAAACGTTCACTGTATCAAAAATAACCAACTATTAATACTATTCTGCCATAGTCGTTGAAGACGTCGTTTATAGATCGAAGCAGGTTTTGCTCGACGGGAGTCAGTTTCTTCACCGGAGAGGGATCTTCTTCTAACGTGGAAGGGGTGAGAGTGCGTTTTCTCTTTCACAATCATTCATGATTCGATGTTTCGAACGACATTTAAAGAATTGTTTCTTTAAACGTCGTTCAAAACATCGAATTCAGTTTTCTGCTCTTTTTCCAAAGAAGAACATCATGAACGATCGTGAAAAGAGAAAACGCGCTCTCACCCCTTCCACGTTAGAAGAAAATCCCTCTCTGGTGAAGAAACTGACTCCCGTCGAGCAAAACCTGCTTTGGTCTATAAACGACGTCTTCAACAATTACGGCAGAATAGTATTAAACGACATTCGAAGACACTTCGTAGGAAGAGGTAGAACACCAACTATTAATGCCATCCAGTGAGAAAAATATGCCCACTCAATCAAGAATGTAATATAGTTATGAGGAAAATTGAAAATCTGCTTTGAAGTTTACTTTTACTATTGTATATACAATTAATGTGTACAATAGTTTTAAGAATAAAAATGTATTTGCTTCCAATTATTGATTTTTAATTAATCTTAAAACTGCCTTTCGGTGAATTTTATGAATTTTTGAAAATATTCTTTGCAAGAAGTCACTGCCGGAGGTTAGCTTGAAATCTTTATTGTAATAGTACTTCTCCCAGTATAGATACAAAAGTTCAAGCAATGGTTCCAGTGCTGCATGGATGGAAGAATGGAAGACATTGACGGGCATGGAAGAAGACCCTCTTAGTACTCACAGAGCAGAGTTTAAGAAATATCACCTCAGCATCAGCTACTTACTCAGTATAGTTGAGGTTTTTTCTTCTATTCTTTCCACTTTGTAGGTTCTAAGAGGGTCTTTTTTCAGGCTTATGGGTTCAACCAAATCCACAATGGGAAGTGACCAGGTGGAGAGACAGGGCCTTGACATATCTGGGACAGACCACCCTTGAAAACTTTCTTGGGTTTTTGACTGCTCAGATTCAGTCCCAGTCTCCCAGAGGTAATAGGCTGATGTCTTAACTGCCTTGGCCATCCAGTTTGTGGTATAGTTGAATTAAACAGTATTTACATGCTTGGAGCAATTACAGCAAAGCTTTTATGAATTATAAAAAAGTAATGGATTCACTTACAGGTTTATCTTCAGTAATGCGAAACTTTGGTTAATGAGGATTCTACTGAATTAGTAAATGCATTAAAAATATACAATAGCCTCTCATTATATCACGCTTTTCAGGAAACAAAGAAAAAGCGCAATATATCCGAGTACTTAAAATTCTGGTCTTTTACTAAACAGATTATACACGCTATCCTGTATTCTTTCATCAGCAAGTGTTTCTTATATAAAATAAGTTTAGTTTTTCAATACTCAATTTTATTCGTGGTTATATTGTATTAAATAATGTTTACATAAACATTGACACCATGAACACCCATTTTGCATTATTGTTTCTTTAACAATGACATTTAAAGATAAATACTGTCAATATAAAAATAAAATATCAGCTGCGCTTTTATTATACAGTACTATATTATTTCACAATAAATCGCTTATTAAAAATTCTTGTAATATATTTTTCAATAAAAATTATAAATACAGTAAAAATCTCACAAGGCATTCAACTGGCCATTGCAAACCCAGCAAGGTGTGTATATATATATTAACAAACTTCATCAACTAACCCGTTATACGTTAAAGCAATACACCAACCAAAGCCGAATTATCGGGCTAGAACCGGCTAAACTAATAATAATTTATAAGATAATTTGGTACTAGAGTTAGGCGTTAGGCGCCATCTCTTGCTAAGTTTAATAATTATAATTTTAATTAAATTATTTAAGAAGAAAATCCTCGCACCCAAGGCGCAAATCAAGCGCCCACATCCTTGCATCAAGGAGTTGGGCACTTGATTTGCGACCATTTTGGCAATGCCCAGCCGGCATTGTAATGGCTGTCGAAGGTCGTGTATAGATACAGTAATTGAAAATTTAAAAAATAAATATTAAACATATTAATAGAACATCAAAACTTATAAAATTACAGAGTAAAAATTCTCTAAAAAGCAAAATAAAGTTACTACTGTACACAGATTTTAGAACTTCTGTTCAGAAATTTATGTGAATTGAGACAATATGGTAAATTCACATAAAGATGCAAAATTTCCAGTTCACAGAAACTTGTAAATGAGGAGACAGAACTTAAAAACCAATAAATAAACAGCTTTTAATATCAAAAGGAAACATAAATTATAATTGATCTGTCCACCTGTTTTCTTTATTTAGATCTTGGTGAATTTATTGTTCCACCTGCAGTGATGGTTTCAAGGACAATGGTAGAAATAAAATATGGTATTTGGTTGCAAAAAGAAATTCAATGGCAATTGATAATTTAAAATTTATTGACTGGAGTGCTTTTAAAATTTGGGGGACTAAAAAACATGATATAACGAGGGGCTACTGTATTATTGTTATTTTATTTATTTTTAATTATTGTTTATGTATTTTAACTTACGTAAAAAATTAAAGTAGATAAATAAATAAATAAATAATTTTTTTTTTCATAACTTGACAAATATTTTATTTTATTTTTGTAGATAGAAACAGAAAATAGAAATATATCCCAATCACAATTACACTTACAATCTGTCGCTACATCAGTAGTTCCAGTGCAGTCACAACCAAATTCTTCTACCAGTCAGAATGTACGTCTTGTTAATCTACTGAAACAAGGCCCAGTTCAATCAGTAAGTATAGATGGTGTGAATAATTTTAATTATAAATCTAAGGAAATTATGGCTTTGCGATGGAATAAATAAAGCATTCTTCAAAAGGCAGGAATGCTTTTTGTTTACTTCAAAGTAATATATAAAGTGCTTCATTGCATTAGTGTAATTAAAAGAAGTAAATAAATAAATAATTCATAAGAAATCTGTTTTAGCAGATTGGATAATGAATTATAATTATATCTTGTGCTTTTTCGTAAACCTTGTATGAATGTACATTGTCAAGCAACTAATGAAAAATATCAAAAACTACTCAGACTATGTCATTTGAAAATATCCCTTATTCATTGGGTTTAACTTGTAAATTTGTGACTTTGTCATTCCATTCATTTTAAACTTGTCCAAAAAATAAACATAATTGTCCAGTTCATAGGTGGGAGTATACAGCATGTTTCCTATAAATTTTTGTTTCCTAAATACCGTAGTACAAACACTCGAACACTAGGCAATTTTCATCTAAGTTTATTCAGTTTAGTTGATATGTGTGCGTATTGTTTACACACGTTTTGGGCTTGTTACACCCCTCTTCAGGCAACTAAATTAAAATTAGAGAATACATACGAATTACAAATTCCAGTGTATATATACAAATATACTGTTCGGTATAATGTTTATGTATATATTTATATATATATATATTACACATATATATATAAAAGTAAACACAAACATTATACCGAACAGTATGGCTGAAGAGGGGCATAGCAAGCCCGAAACATGTGTAAACAATACGCACACGTATCAACTAAACTGAATAAACTTAGATGAAAATTGCCTAGTGTTTGAGTGTTTGTACTATGGTATTTAGGAGACAACAATAAATACAGACACGGTTTCAAAATTGCAAAATTGAAGTAAATTTACTTTTGTCTGTGGAAGTTGGCCAGAATGTCAGGAAACTATTGACTTATCACAACTCAACTTTATTAATTTTTTTTATACACGTTTTTTTGAATTCCTTTCTATATACTGAAATCACTTAAAACAATCTTTCGAATTATTATATAAATTGTTCAGTATTAATTCTCCTAACAAAGTACTGTACATGTATTTTAATATTTACTGTTTTCCTGTTAAGTTTATTCCTGATAGCAATTGCAAGGCATTGTTATTTGTTCAAATTAATAAAAATTTGTAAATGAAAAATATATGTCTGAGATATGCATTATTTAATAAATAGCTGAAGCTGCATTATTATTCAGTTAATTAAATCAGTTTGTTCAATTTTAATGATGGTATTGTTTTATTTTCTTTATAGATTCCACTAAGAGTTATTGCACCTGCTCCATGTTCTGTAACATCTTCCACAAATGAAACTTTAAGTACTGTAACAAATATAGCAGTTCCAACTCAAGTCAGAGTAAGTATATATTCACTTGTTTTTATGTAAATATGTTAAAATTCATCCATTCAAAAAAACTTTACTTGCATTATGTGTATTGACAACTTTACATATCCACACTTACATAAAAAAAAAAAAACAATGCAGAAAAGATTTATACAAAAAATTATAATTTTCAAAACTCATAAAATTAAAAGTAAGGATAGTTTGGGAACATTTAATTTTGATTACTACAAAATCTCAAGGAGATTATTCTTAAAAAAAATATGAGGTAGATGTGAAGTGACACAAAAATTACAGTGAAAATACATTGAACTTCTGATTATCTAAGGTAATTAATGTATGGATGTGCACAAAAGATCAGAAAACATGGATAATTAAAAAATGTCTCTGTATATCATAAAAAATGAAACCACGACTAACATTATGTTTTACAGCAAACATAAAGAAGGCTAGGGTGTCAATAATAAAAGAAACAATTACAGATTACATAGAATTTTTAAAATAAACTTTGGAGGGGTACCCCCTGAAAACATTTGGAATTATGGTGAGACTAACCTAACTGTGATGACCACAGTTAGGTTAAAATGCCCACAGTGCCTCTAAGGCAGTTATATCAATCATGATTAAATTATGTGATTTTCCCATTTTGTATTTCTTGTATATGTTACTTAGATACCGTTAATAAATTACTGCACTTATTTCAAATAGTTTACTTTCATGAGTGTGGTTTAAAGTAACATTTCCAAGTGAAAACATTGTGCCATGTCCATTTGTGTTTTTTTTTTTTATTAATGTAATTTTTAAAGCGGTGTAAAGTATCCTCCCCTATGAGGATTATTTACACCACATTTTTTGGTCTGTAAAAAGATAAAGTAAGAAAGCTGCAATAATGAGATTTGGTTAGATGTTTCAGTAGACATTTCTTAGTACATGTGCAATAGAACACATTTAGAACTCCAATATAAGAGACTGCATAAGCCTTCTAAAGAAAAAAAATCAGAAAAAATTGGTGCAAACTATCCCCACATTACAATATCTATTTACTTGCAGATAATAATGATAAGTATAACTGAAACTCTGAATGCAAAATGCAAAGTTTTATAAGTGTATTTTAACTTGTATATTTTGGGATGCGCTTATTCTGATAACACTAAATGTGTGATTACAATAAATGGTTTCTATTGTATTATATAAATATAAATATTTTTATTTTTTATTTTAAGAAATAATATATTTAATATACATATAGTGTTATAATTAAATAAAAAAAAACAGAAACTTTATTTTTCAGCTATTCTGCCATTAGAAATATAAAATATTTTAAAATTTTTCATTTTGTAAAAGTTTAGTTTATTGAACTTATTAATTTACAGGTAGGTAATCAGATACTTACATTAGCAACTCGTCAAGCCCATACAGTTCAAGGAATACAACATCAATTTCGTAGTTTTTCTGCCGATCAGCAACAGTTTCCTGTATGTATTGCAGCTATTTATATATTAATGTTTTTAAAATTATAATTAAATATGAATATATATATTTATTAATTAAATTTCTTTCATTTATATTGCTTATAAACGTTTATAAAACAGGTTATTATATACTTTGAATTTATTATTATTTTTTGTTGTTTTATCTTGTTTTCTGTTGTAATGTAACGATTTACATTTGAAAAATTTTGTTTATAAAAAAGATAATTTGAAGATGAATTATGATATATCTACATTCATATTCCAAAACAACGTTAAGTCATTGCAAGTGGACTATGTAATGTGTTACAGATGTTTTCAATTATACTGCTTGAGTCATATCAGTTTAAATGAGTTTTGCTGGTTAGAAACATTTAATTAAAAGTTTTAATGCTTCAAATCATCTTTCAAAACACTATTACGGTACAGAATTAAAAGTTATCGTATATGAAAAAGGGCTTGGAAATAATGTTGTTAAACGTTACTTGTTATAGGGCATCTGTATTATTTCAATAACTTGTTTTTACCTAACCTTATAAATAAAATTGATTACTTAGAAATTTTCTCTTCAAAAATGAAGAATATCTTGATTCAGAACTTACGATGCTTCTTAGAATTGAGGAAATATAGTGTGTGTATATAATAGATATATAGTAGATCCTGTTATCTGAGACTAACTAATAAATGAATACACTACTTTTCTTACACTGTAATTCATAAAAGAAAGTTTAAAACAATAACACATGTTACAAAATTATTTGTTTCTGTTACTTTTTAGTATTTAACTTCAATGTGAAACAAATCATTGATATTAAAATGTAACTACAATAATACACATTTTTATTATTAAAATTATTTTAGGTATTAGTTGTATAATATGCTTCTACGTTCAAAATTTTTAATTTGAAATGATTGTGGCTATCCATATTATCTGACGTAGCATGTAATTATGAGCACGCATGCATTTGAACATTTTTTTAGATATGCAATACTGGTTCAACATGTGATAGATGCTTGTATTTGAAAAAGTGAGAACACAATACTTTAACACAAGTTAGTGTCAAAGTACTGAAATATGTAGTTATGTGCCATTGAATTCCAAAATGAGCAGAAAATCAACATTTTAATTCTGTGTCAAACTTGGAAAAACTTTTACCGAAACATTAAATTTACATATGGTAGTGAACATTAAAGAAGAAAGAAGTATATGATAATAACACTATGTCCTGTACACAAGTGTATGGATGACATAAGCATTTTAAAGAAGGCTCTGAATCATCAGAGAATGATCTCCATCCAGATGAGCCACTTCAGGAAGAAACAAAAATGATTTTCCAAGTTCATGAAGAGATCAGAAGAGATCACAGACAATCAACAGATGAGCTTGTCAATATTTTGGGAATTTCCTGTGGTTCTGTATCCATATCTATATACAGAGACAGGAAATTCCCATTCTTCATGACAACTTTATAGTAAACTCATTAACAAGGAGTCTTATATTGACATTCAGTTACTTCCATGATTCTGGAAGATGAAAACAACCTCTCTTTGGCAAGCAAAAAGCTGTATTTGTCATTACCATTATGTTCCAGCACTCTCGTAGTTAGTGAATATGTGGAAAAACATTAGATACTTTACTGTCAAAGACTCCTTACTCATCAGACCTAATTCTCACAGATTTTTTTCTTCACCAAAGGCTGCAGATTCAAATCAGCAGAAGAGATGAAAAGTATTTCAATGATTGCATTTAAGGAGGTAATGCTGAAAGGGATGCAAGACTGTTTCGATAAGTGATATGAACATTGCTAAAAGTGTGTAGCCGCAGAAGATGCTTATCTTCAAAGATAGTCTTCTGTAAATACTTGTACTATTAACATAATACAAGTTATATTAGGAGTTTGATATATATCTTATATAATATGTATAGCCAGACATATATGTCTGGCTATGAATTCAGTTTATACTTATATTATAATTTATTTTATTAAAAACTTAATAAATATCTATAATTTTTTTTAGCAAACTCAACAGGTTGTTTTAAGAATACAGCAAAATCAACAATTGCAGCAGAAACAGCAGTCTTCAGTTAGCACTCTTACAGTTCCTGGTGTTATACAAATTCAGGTAGATCTTATTACAACCAAATTTAATTTCATTATTAACTGTAATTGCAATCAAGGATAGAAAAGATGATAAAAGATTTCAAGGAAATTAAAATACATAATAGCTGAAAGATAACTGTCAATATTCAATATATTGCTGAAACTCTGAAAAATTTATAATGATGTACCGATTAATTTATCGCAGTTTTTGAATGATTATGTGATCAGTTGTATTAATTGTGATAGCTGTTTGGACGCAAAGCGTTGATCAGTTCAAAGATATTAATCAGAAATGAGTAATTTTTTATACAATCAGGATGTAAATTTCAGATATTTACATATAATATATTTTTATTTAAACAGTAACCTACTCTGAAGTAATTTTAATATTTTTATTATTTTTCTCTCTTGTTTTTTTATATTCGATTTTTCTGTAATAAGAAGATAATATTTTAGTCAATAAAAATTGTATTTATAAAATAATACTTAAATAAATTTCTATATTCTTACATTTTGGCTATTGGAATTAACACTGAAATTGAAAATTATTTCATTTTTCAGAATAAATTAAATAGGATAGGAGTTCCAGTATCCAAAGCAAGTCAGTATGTATCAATTATTTTATTTTTATAACTTTCAAATTATTATCCCGAAGTAATATGAATTTCAAAATTATATTTCATACATTATTAAAATGTTGAAAATGAAACATTTTATGTCTTCAGTAGTCAAATAACATTACAAAAAATTCAACATATACATTTGTAATGTCTTATCTAATCGAATCAAAAGCCTGGATAATATTCTAACAGTGCATTACATAAACAAAGGTTTCGAAAGTGCCAGGCCTGGACTTTGCATGGACAATAAAACGAATGTAAATTGTTATTAATGTCAAAACCGAAAATTATTACTATACAAAAAAATCTGTTTACTAGTAAAAGCCCGAATATGTACAGTCAAGAAATAACATTAGAGAATAACTTGCAAATAAAGATAATTTATCAAAAAACCAAAACAAATATATACAAAACTCTCCCGATAATTGGGGACTTACAAATTAAGTTACAACAATATCTTAGAATTATCTCCACAAAAACTGACAAGCAAAATAGGAAAAAAATATCAAAAAGCACAATGAATCTTATTAATTTGTCTAACTGTCATCAAGAAACTCTGTCTCTGAAACTGGAAAGCCCCTTTCATCAATTTCACTCGATCCTTAGCACCACCTCATTTGATTTTTCAATTCATCTCTTTCTTATAGTGCGGTTGGGGTGGAGTTAGAAGCATACTCCCACTCTACCCTATTTACATACTTACTCGTTAACACTTCATTCGTTCTAGTAATCAGTCTTGTTAATTCATGTCATCTTCTTTATAAGTAGTTTTGTCATTTTTTATTGCATTTCCAATGACAATTCAGAGTGGGAGATCATTCTTTTAACTTCCTGTGGAAGTCTCCCGAGATGTCATTTCTGCGTTGACGACATCATAAGTTGCTGCCAGCAGTTGTTATCATAAGGCGAGTTAATTTTGAATTTTGCCCAGGTGAGGTGTCTATCCTCAATGAAATAAAACTCCCCAAAATAAATAGAATAATGAACAAAAAATAATCTCTAAACAAAATAGAATGGGTCGGAATCGTCTCCTTACACATTAATTTTGTTTCATTTCTTCTTATATCTTTGTTTTACAAACTTGAAAGTGCTAGGAATGCTTACTTTATCAGAAGTTATAACAAATTAATCGGATTTTATTAACAAAATTAATAGAATTTTATTTTGTTACAACAATTTTGTGTACATTCCTTACATTTTATATAGTACCTGAAACGTAATAAACAAACCTTACAAAGAAAATTTTACTATGCTTGTATATTTTATTGGAATAAACTGAGAGAAGCATAAATTTACATATGTATTATATTTCATATCAATTAAACTGATTTACTCTCTCAGGAACAATGTAAAAACTATATTCAAAGAAGTTATTAGAAAGTCTAAAATTTCTCTTCTAGTCGCTTGAGTCAGGAATATGTAATTTATATAAATAGTGCAAAAAGTTAGAATATATAAATGACTAATTTTCTCTGAAAATGAATTATATAAGTCTAAATGTATTCAGATAATTGAAAATTCACATCTTTTTTCAAGAAAATGATAGTTTATTTATACAGGTATACCTCGACTTACGTCGTTTTCCTGGAACCAATTAACGACGTAAGGCGAGGTATACCTGTATAAAATTACTGCATATTCCACATTTTTTATTTAAAACCAAAAATATATAGGTTCTATAATAAAATATTTTATAATACAAAATTCAACTCCTCAAAAATATTTTAATAGAATAAAAAATCTTTAATGCAGTATGAAAATTCAAACATTGAATTAAAGTTTAATTTTTATTTTCTGTAATTTGAGTTGCTTGAACACAATTTTCTTCATTGTGTTTTTAATGTCATCGCTTCCATAAGAATAGAATTAATTTGTTCAGTTGCATTTTTGAAGATGAGCAGCAAGCTCTAAGTGCTAGAACATTTTTATTTCATGTTTCTTTGAGTCTTCATTCTCCATTAAAGCATTTTTTTTTACCTATTAATATATATATCGAAAATTATATTTTAAAAATTTGTTTTAAAGCATCAAATATTTATTATATAATTTCATTTAGATTTCAGCAACAGTTAAGATGTGATCATAATGGAGTACTTCGTCCAAATTGTAAACAGCCTTTTACTTCATATGAAGAAGCATGTAGACGACTCCTACCATATCATGTATTTAATTCACAAAATTTTCATGAGGAGGATTTAAATAAAGGTATGTTATCTTTTAAGATTAAGCCAATTTTTTAAAATAATGATTGAAAAATTTTGAAGATACTTCATTAACATCTTCAACTTCCTTTGAATGCATATGGTTATACAGAATAATCAATAGGATGACTATCATGCCAAATTAATGTATTATAATAATAATAATGATAATAATAATAAAGACACCGAGTTCAGCGTTACATGCATACATTTTTTTATCGCAAGCACTTTCCGACGAACTTATAGTCTTCGTCCTCAGACGAATACAAATATTTTTCGAAAAAATTAAACAGAAATAATCCAATGTAGAATAGAATGCATAAACTTATATTTTATGCGTTCTATTCTACATCGGATTATTTCTGTTTAATTTTTTCGGAAAATATTTGTATTCGCCTGAGGACGACGACTATAAGTTCGTCAAAAGTGCTTGCGATAAAAAAATGTATGCATGTAACACTGAACTCGGTGTCTTTATTTTTATTATTATTATATTCAGAATAAATATAACAAAGCAAACATAATGCATTAACAGTCGTTAAGTTCTGCATTTGTTGTAATTTATTTATTATTTTTGTTATATATTTATGTATTTCCACTATGATATATGTTTTTATTGGTTTCCAAATGGTATTATTTTTTTAATTAAATAGTTACTTTTTATGTACGTTGTTACTAGAGTTACTTTTTTTTTTTTTTTTTAATTTCTGAAATACTTTGACATCAAAGCTAATATTTGTATACTGGCATATAAGACAAAGTCCAAATTTCAGAATAGAAAATCTTCACATGTTAAGAACAGGAAGCTTTAAATTCATTCCCTGCAAAAAGTATTGCTACGAACCTTAAAATTCATAGTACATTGCATCTATTAATATTAATGTTTATTATCTAGTGTAGGGAAATGTAATAAAAATAGAATATCAATAAGTAATAATATATTAACTGTAGTGTGATGTTGGTTGGATGATACATATAAAAAATATTTCGGATTTATTTACTTTGACCATTAGCTATCTCATAGTTGTTTGCGCCATTATTTCAGTTGTAAGAAGTTTCAAGTAATTAACTGTTCTGGAAGATTCCTGTTTTTCTAAAAGCCAGCTTAAAAACTTTGAATTACTTCAATTTGTTAAATAAGTTTTTAAAGTTTTTATTATTTGAAATCATGAAACAAACTAAATGAAGAAAGTATGAAGCAAGTTTTAAACTAAAAATGATTAAAATGGCAAAGGAATTGAGTAATGCTTCTGCGATAAAGTTTGATATAACCAGAAAGATAGTAAGAGACTAGGGATATAAAGATGATTGCCAGAGATTCAGAAGTCTGACTGGCAACACTTCCCATCCCGAGTTGGTTGGCGATACTTGTTCACAAAGTTGTTTTAAGAATAGATGCTGAAACTGCATTGTCACAAGAAATATAATTGATATATATATATCAGTTAAACCTAGATATATATATATACAGTATATATGCACTGAAATGGTCAAGAAAATTAAATAAAGCAGAGTAGAGAATTTAAAGCAATCTCAGAATGGTACAACCAGTTTATGAACATGAAAAACTCTAGTAATGCAACAAAGAACAAAAATTGTTTAGAAGCTACAAGCAGATCTTGACCATAAAGTTAAGTTACCAGTTTTCACCAATTTATTATTTGATTGAAGAGAAATATCAATTTCCATTATCAAATATTTGAAATATCGACAAAACACCCATGAACTTTGATATGGAATGCAATAAAACAGTGGACTCTAAGGATAAGAAAATTCTGCTCGTCTAGAGCAGCGGTCGGCAACCTTTCTGACCTCACGGACCTCTAAACTCACAATTTTGAATCCCACGGACCACTATCATGAATTTTTTTAAACAATACAAAACCTGTAGAATAATGATCATAAAAGTTCAATTTTACTATATTAATACGAAACTTGCATGTTTAATTATAACAAATTAATGCAAGCCTAAAGTTCATTGCTGCTTGTTTGAAACAAGTTTATGGATTCTTAGCGCTTTTCCACAAAGGATGACAATCGCTCTCACAATATTGTTTATTGTTCATTATTTATTGATAACAGTTATTTTGTATTTGGTTTTAGATTCGAATAGAAACCCCCAATGAGTGGAAAAAAGTAACTATGCATTTTGCATTTCTTTCGTAATACTTCACGTAACCTTCTGTTGATCAATGTCCAAATTTCTCCACGGACTACCAGTTGCTGACCATTGGTCTAGAGTACAGACCACGAGAGAACCAGATTTACAACGGTGTTGTACTTAGCCAATGAAACGAAAAACGTGATTATTGTCAAGTGTAAAACTAAACCTAAACTAGTTGTATATTATTGTTACAACATCACAATGCTAGGCTGCAATTTTTTTTATTATTTTAATTTAAAAAATCACATGACTTCCGGTCTGGATCGGAAGTCATATATGATTGAATTGGGGCCTAAGTCCCTAAGCATTCCATATCTGCTGTCAATTTTCATCTGTGATGGATGGAAATATTTTTGATTAGATTTTCAACATGTAGGTTAAAAGAAAGTCTGTTATCGAATATGACACCAAGATCGCAGACACTATTAACAGTCTCTAGACATTGGCTATTAAGGAAAAAATTATTAATGGGAGTGTTTCTAACAAGGCTAAAATCCATAACTTTTGTTTTGTTAGGATTTATTAAAAGGTTTAGCAATTTTATAAATAAAATAAAATAAATGTATTTTATTTTATTTATAAATTATCTAACATTTTCAAATGTATAATGTATTTCTTACATTTTATCTTTCTTTGTATACATTAAATAATTGAGTATGATAATTTTATTACACATGTACTATATATATATGATATGTTTTATTAATAAAGTTAGTTTTAAACAGAATTGAATTTCTATTTTTCACATGTAATTTTTCTAGTATGTGAATTTTACATTTTATTATAATATTTGTTTACAGTTGATCAATCATTCGAAGCAATATCTCATAAATGTTTAGAAAGAATCAAAAGATTGCATAACAAGTATCATTATTTACTACTGAAAGAAGGCATGGTAAGATAAAAAGGAAATTTTGATAAATTTAATCTAATTGTAATGTATTTAATTTAATTTAACATATTCTTTCATATTTAAATTAGGAAGATTTACAATGCTTATTAAGCTGATACTAAATAAACATGAAAATTAAATTAATTTGATTTGGGTTGCAAAATTATCATCTAAATATATATATGTTGCTTATAGCAAATTTTATGCATGGTATATAATATTTGCTTCATGAAAATTGGAGGATTGAATCCATTATGAGTCCATATAAAGGATGGTTACATATATACAGTAAAACTTCTCTAATTCAAACATCTATAACTTGAATATTTCTTTAACTCAAAGAAAACAAAGCAATTCACTTGATAGGTCTCAATGGAATATCACAGGGATTTAACATNATAATAATGAAATTAGTGGGCACTTGTACTTAGTACATTTTTTAATACCCGAGCCTGTTTAAATATATGAAGGCCAAAATGGTAAAATTCCTTAAAATTAATGGCACTTCAAAAAAGATAGGAATCTAAAAAAAGAAAAGAAATTTTACACTACAGCAGGAAACACCCTTAAGTTATCTTTTCTGGTGACATTTATTTGTCTCATTGTGATAAACATTACTGTTCCAGGGCCTTTCCACTGGCTGTACACAGCACATAAATCTACTGTGATGAACGTACGAGAGAAAAAATAAAAATAATAATAATAAATATCCTTCTTGGTGCCACTGTATTGTTGTCTTTCAGTTCATATGTGGAACACAATGCTAGTAGATGTGTTAACCGTAGACTGTGTGGTTGGTGGGTAGGAATGTGATATATTAAAAATACAACAAAAAAACAGCTCAAATCCGAACGATAACGATGATTCAGAAGGAATATGTGGTGTAAAATAGTGGCTGGTGTAACTCAGGGCTAGAAAAGAGAATTTCCTGCAGATGGTGTACAGAACGACTGCATCTTGGATACGCTTTTTTTCTACAAAATGGCTGTAAATATTTTAATAAATGTCCTGTCATTAGATGTTGTATATGATAATTGTCCGTTTTAGGTTTGTGAATTTTTTTTTATATTATTATTATTATTATTATTATATTATTTTATATATATATATATATAAGACTGACTGGTTCTATGCAAGCTACACTTTAGTTTAATTTAACGACAAGAACTTAAATTAAAACTGCACAATGTAGATTTCTTGTAAATATATTTCTTGCAAATAGTACTTAAACGTTCATTACAATACTTCTGTGTTTAAAATTAATCCGAAACATCGTAATTTTCTATGCTTAGTTGATATTTTGTTAATATATTGTATATGCATGTATGTAGATACATATCTATATGTATATATACATATACATAAAAATATATATTTTGTTTTAACATTAAATCTTGAAAAAGAGAGAGAGAGAGAGAGAGAGAGAGATAGAAAAGCATCATCAGCCAAGCAGATAGTGTCAAATTTTTACGAGACGTAGCCTATCCTCCGTCCTCACAAGGCTACATTTAATTCTAAGCTGTGTGCAAGTTCCTTTAAGAAAAAAAAATATATATATATGCCCCTGCAGTAATGGACAGTTATAAATATGTAGTTTTAAAAAAGAGTAAAGGAGAAAATATACCACGGTTATTTATTGGAGTAAGAAGCGAAGGGAAAAAGAAAAAACAATTTCGAAGTTGTTATATGCATATTATGATTTTTAAAATGACAAACTTTAAAGAGAAATTATGAACTTTTGTTCATGGAATCATCCCGTCAGTTTAGAATAATAATTAAATTCATTTCTCAGTTCAAGAAATTTATCATTGAAGTATCCAGAAAGAAAAGTTTTTGCAATTTTTAAAAAAAAAAAAGGATGCAGTCAAACTGCATAATTTGTCTATACATATATATATATATATACATATATACATACATAAAGAGTGATTATAATTAAACAGGTGGTGATTACAGCTTTGTATAGAAAGAACTGATGGATCAAATGCATCCAAATTTNCACACAAAAAAAAAAAAAAAACATACAAAATATAATAATAATGAAATTAGTGGGCACTTGTACTTAGTACATTTTTTAATACCCGAGCCTGTTTAAATATATGAAGGCCAAAATGGTAAAATTCCTTAAAATTAATGGCACTTCAAAAAAGATAGGAATCTAAAAAAAGAAAAGAAATTTTACACTACAGCAGGAAACACCCTTAAGTTATCTTTTCTGGTGACATTTATTTGTCTCATTGTGATAAACATTACTGTTCCAGGGCCTTTCCACTGGCTGTACACAGCACATAAATCTACTGTGATGAACGTACGAGAGAAAAAATAAAAATAATAATAATAAATATCCTTCTTGGTGCCACTGTATTGTTGTCTTTCAGTTCATATGTGGAACACAATGCTAGTAGATGTGTTAACCGTAGACTGTGTGGTTGGTGGGTAGGAATGTGATATATTAAAAATACAACAAAAAAACAGCTCAAATCCGAACGATAACGATGATTCAGAAGGAATATGTGGTGTAAAATAGTGGCTGGTGTAACTCAGGGCTAGAAAAGAGAATTTCCTGCAGATGGTGTACAGAACGACTGCATCTTGGATACGCTTTTTTTCTACAAAATGGCTGTAAATATTTTAATAAATGTCCTGTCATTAGATGTTGTATATGATAATTGTCCGTTTTAGGTTTGTGAATTTTTTTTTATATTATTATTATTATTATTATATATACATATATATGTGTGTGTATATATAAACGCTTATTATTATTGATGAACTTTTTATTTAAGAAGTAAATAATTTATATTTATTTCTTGCGCGTTACTTAAATAAATGACAAGAAAAAAAATGGCCGGATCAAGTTCTATTTCTAATACGATCTTTTATAACAGTTAAAGTATCAGTATCATTTCCGACATTTTTTTTTAAGTGTAAAGGCGTTTGTTTTTCTTTCAAATTCGAGCAGTTTACTTTTAATGCCTCCATCCCGGGCACTAAAAGGCCCCTTCGGCTAAGCCTACATAGTATAGTCGACCCCCGTATAACACTGTTGATTATTCCGTTTTATATGAATTCAATGTTGTACGAGTCACTTAGATTTTACAAATACATCAGCCGTTCGTAGCCCAGCACACGTATTTGTAAAATCTAAGTGACTCGTACAACATTGAATTCATATAAAACGGAAAAATCAACAGTGTTATAGGGGGGTCGACTGTATTAACTGGGGCTCAGTTATTCGGATTAACCCCCTCCCCCGAAAGTTAAGCCGATCCGTACCAATCGCGGGAATTTTCGGGAGATGGTACTGTACGTCCGGATATGTCGGGGGGCCCCATCCGTTGCCTCAGGCCTAATCTAACCCGTAATCGGCTTGCTAAAAGGGCGGAAAGTTAAGCCATTATTCAGATAAGCGTACCTTCAAGTGTTTCTACTAATTCCCGTAATATTATAAGTCGAGAGAATTCATTACACTAAATACCTGAATTTCAAAAACATTCATTTCTCCTGTATTCCTTTGATGGGAGGTAATTAATTAATTAGACAATGAGAGCACTTCGTAAAGATGGAGAATACGTATGTTTTCACTTCGCTTTTCGACAGTATTCTTGATTACTTGACACCCCCTTTTTCTCTCGATTTACAAATGTGTCATATCACAATTTATCGACTCCGATTTCCACAAAAGAACAATTGGTCATATGATTAACTCCATTGTAAAACTGGTTATAGGCTAAAAAAAAATTTTTTTCCGCTGTTACACGAATGTAAACTTCGATCCTGCTATCGGTTGACTGTTTTATTGTTCAGGTAAGTCTCGAGAATACGTGTAACTTCTTCGGTATTGTAGTGAGGCCGACTTGTCAAAAATAGGCTTATTTAAATACAGGCCGTATGTAAGCTTAATTAACTAGTTGCATAGATCTGAACGGTCATCAAAGGTCGTATTGAAGTTATACTTACATAAACACAACTTAGTTTGTTTTAAATGCTTCTAATTCTTTCGTTTACGGTTATTGTACAGTCGACCCCCTATAACACTGTTGATTTTTCCGTTTTATATGAATTCCATGTTGTACGAGTCACTTAGATTTTACAAATACGTGCGCCGGGCTGTGAACGGTTCACGTATTTGTAAAATCTAAGTGACTCGTACAACATGGAAATCATATAAAACGGAAAAATCAACAGTGTTATAGGGGGGATCGACTGTATTCTTATTCTCAGACCCCTACAATGTGAAAAGGGTGAGTGGTATAGTGAAATAAACGTTTAATTTCCACGGATAATGTTCCATCTGCCGAAATTCTAGAGTACACCTTCCTCTTATGTATACACATACATTAGGAATGACTACGGCCGTACACAAAGTGTTTACGGGAAGGATGAGACAGAGAGAGAGGAGATAGAAGAGAAAGGAAGGGTATAATGTTGGCGTGCAGTATTTAGGCTACAAGGCCATTGCCCCAAAGTGTCTTAAAAGAAACCTTTGTTGTATCATACACCAATATGTAGTACAGCTACATAAAAGTGAGAAAAGAGTAAAGTGATGAATGCCAATGATTGTTAATGAACGCTTAAAACTGATACAGTACATTATACCAGTTATAGCTAGAATGCTCTAAGAGCGCCATGCATTCCTAGAAATACTTGCAAGGGCTGTGATGTATTTGATGTGTGGTGTGAAGTTAAGCTTCTCGTCAAAAATAACAACCTAAATATTTAATTCACGATAGAGTTGTAAGCGATATTCCAGAGTCCAGGATCCGACCTGAATACCCGAGGACACCCCCGAGTGGTCGGAATGATAATGTTATGTTGTGTTGTATAAACACCCGCACTCCTGTCAGCAAAATAGGACCAAGTTAAAATCCTGTATACAAACGAAGTATAGCAATCTGATCAATCTCTATCCGCGTTTACAAACGTCATCTAGGATCACTGGATCGCGATCAAACTAATTCGAGCGGTGGATAGGATCGTTTGAATCGGATTAAAAAAAAAATTAAAGATGGCGACCTCCATGATTAAAGTCAAGCTGATGTTTAAATGTCGACAATGAAAAGTATTTAAAACTTAATAAATAGTAAGTAAAGACATTATTAAAATATCCGATAAACAGATGAAAAAACTAAATATTAAGAGATTTTTTTTACGAAATTGTATGGTAAGAATGAATGGCGTGCAATCTCCGATTTTGCCATTATGGGAGCAGTTTTATTCACGGAGTAAATACGATTCGATCCTATTTGTATACTTTCCGCCAATTAACACACGATTGAAGCGATCTGTATCATGTGACAAAGATTGATTCATCTTGCGGATCGATCATCTGAAATGAAAAGTATATACAAATAAAAGTATATATAGATAAGAGAATTGAGAAGTACAGTACGTAACAACCGGTAATCAATAGTAGGGATGAGAAATCAGGCTACGTCTGATTCATCAATCTAGCCTAAACTGCGTGGTTTGTATATTTTCGGGGAGTGGTCCGTCTGGATATGTCAGGCTCCTTCCCTCACCACCCATCAGCCCCATTATAGGTCTGGCCGAACCCATAATGACTTGCTAAAAGAGGCCTCTTAGTGCCCACGGGGTCGGAAGGAACAGTTAAATTAAAGTTGAGCCAAAAAGTTAGGAACAGGTTAAAGCAGCTTTATTAAAAGACAATTTAACAATTTCCGCTTTAATTTGGCCGCTGCAGCGACAGTGCAGCGAGGTTTGAAATCGCTGAACATAAAATTCAAGATGGCTACCACGAACGGCGAAGAATTTGTAAAATCTTTGTATCATTGGGCTAACTTCGATATTATAATCTTTTATAACATCAGTTACAGTTTTTGTATTATTTCCGAGTAAACATTTTGATTTACGTAAAAATAACGTTTACAAACGGCAAAGCATCAATATAGAGCTGCTCCCCTCGAAAGCGTAAAGCGATCGGCATCAGTTCAAGTAAAGCAGCTTTATTAGACAACGCACCAGACCAGGAGCCGGATGCCCGAGAGGTTATGGTGGTAACCTACCAATTTGGAGATCCAGGATGGAATCCGGATCCACCGAAAAATTCCTGGGGAGTTGAAATATCCCAGGAATTTTTGGAAAGTAATCCGTCTGAATATGTCTGGCACCGTCCCTCATCATCCAGCCTAGAAAAAAACCCAAACTCTTTCTGCCTTGTGGGCACTAAGGAGACCCGTTTTTCGTAAACCCATAATGGGCTTGCTAAAAGAAAGGTCTTCTTAGTGCTCACAGGGTGGAAAGATCTCCAAAAAATACAACGCATTAACAGAAATAACTGTATAAGAAAGCTCTGTTAATGTTAATGCTTATATAATAAGTCTCTTATATTTACTTAAAATTGATCTAAACAATTCGCATAAACAATAACACTTGTCGCACAAAATCTAAAGTAATCGCACAAAATGGCGGCTTATAACTGACGTGACTAAATACACATTTTCTTATTAAAAATTAAAATATATAGAATAATATTTTAAATTGTAATTTAAAATTTATATAGTTTTATTTATATACTAAATAACATCATCATCATTATACATCATTCACAAATTTAGGCCATGTTGACCCGTTTCGATCGGTAGACAGAGTCTAGACGGGGTCTAGGAGTCGTTTTTGTGGACGTTTTTAGTTCGTCGTCGTCGTCCTCGTGATTGATACTGTAAAACTTCATGAGGTATCCTACATGTTGAAGGCATTTTTTTTTACTATATAAGGATAGTTTTTCAATTAATGGCCACATGTGGAGTTCCTTCAAAATATCCTCATTTCGACGACGATCCAGCAGTTCGGCGCATAAACCTCATTTCGGCTGCCTGTAATCTTCGGATATGTCGGGGCCCGGCCGCCCCATTGTAGGCCTTGCAGAACCCATAACGGGCTTACTTAAACAGGCCCTCTTAGTGCCCACAGAAATTATTCAAATAAAATTTAGTATTGTTTTTAAACAATTGCAAGATTTTTAATTATAAAAAAACAATAGAATTACAATGGAATAATCTTGTGTATTCCGTTAAAACACAGACAAGAATAAAATAATAATTATATATAATTTATAGCTAGAATGCTCTAAGAGCGCCATGCATTCCTAGAAATACTTGCAAGGGCTGTGATGTATTTGATGTGTGGTGTGAAGTTAAGCTTCTCGTCAAAAATAACAACCTAAATATTTAATTCACGATAGAGTTGTAAGCGATATTCCAGAGTCCAGGATCCGACCTGAATACCCGAGGACACCCCCGAGTGGTCGGAATGATAATGTTATGTTGTATAAACACTCGCACTCCTGTCAGCAAAATAGGACCAAGTTAAAATCCTGTATACAAACGAAGTATAGCAATCTGATCAATCTCTATCCGCGTTTACAAACGTCATCTAGGATCACTGGATCGCGATCAAACTAATTCGAGCGGTGGATAGGATCGTTTGAATCGGATTAAAAAAAAAATTAAAGATGGCGACCTCCATGATTAAAGTCAAGCTGATGTTTAAATGTCGACAATGAAAAGTATTTAAAACTTAATAAATAGTAAGTAAAGACATTATTAAAATATCCGATAAACAGATGAAAAAACTAAATATTAAGAGATTTTTTTTACGAAATTGTATGGTAAGAATGAATGGCGTGCAATCTCCGATTTTGCCATTATGGGAGCAGTTTTATTCACGGAGTAAATACGATTCGATCCTATTTGTATACTTTCCGCCAATTAACACACGATTGAAGCGANTTTATTTATTTATTTATTTCCGAATTGAAATTGATTAATTTTATATTTTTATTTATTTATTTATTTTTAAATTTATATTTTATTTTCTACATGTGTTGTTTGATTGCCGACGATTTTAAAGGAAGAATTGATACTGGATGTGTCGTTGGATGGAGGGGAGACTTTGGCTTCGAATTGCTCTGTTTTTACACGAGAAATTTACTTGAAATGGTTGTTTACATCTATATTTAGATGGTTTGTTTTTGTTTACAATTAGTATGGATGGGTTATTTTTGTTTATGAACTGTGAATTGTGTTGTTTTCATATTGCTACTACATTCCCTACGTTTCTATGATGATTTTTCCAAATTGTTTTTTTGATTTTATAAAGTTAAATAACATATACAGTTTCATAATTTAAAGATTTATTTGAAACATTTTTAAATGATTAAGAGATTCGTTTGATCGAACACTTTAAAACACTAGTTGATATGTTTCCCGATCTCTTTCTTTGGTCTTTGTATAGAAAATATTCTTTTCGATCGATCCGCTTAAGATTTTGCATAACATACCGAGTAAATTAAATCGGTTAATGAGATTATTTGAAAATTATCCGAAACTCTTTGGAAAAGTAAAATATGTATTTGATTCAACCGTCTGACTGACCCCTCTAGTGCTGTTGATTTCTTTTTTTGAATTCCGTCGACACCTAGGGGTCTGTATTGAACTTGGGAATCTGCTATATAATTTGTTACTAAAGAATGTTATAAAATCGTCGATACACCTTTCTTGCTGAGATATGTTTAATCAAAACACTAATGTTTTCTACCTAATACAATAGGCCGTCTTCGGACCTGTTGTATTGT